CGCTCGAGTCCGGGTGTTGCGTCTGGGAGGACGGGCTGCAGGGCTGGCCGAGGCTCCTTGGCGGCGAGGGACGACGCCAGATCTCCCCCACATCTCGGGTCATCTCGCCAGATCTCCCCCACATCTCGGGTCATCTCGCCAGATCTCCCCCACATCTCGGGTCATCTCGCCAGATCTCCCCCACATCTCGGGTCATCTCGCCAGATCTCCCCCACATCTCGGGTCATCTCGCCAGATCTCCCCCACATCTCGGGTCATCTCGCGCCTCGGCGGCGAGAGACGACGCCTCGGATGCCCTCTGCCGAGCCGCCTCCGCAGCGGCAGCCTCCTTCGCCTCCGCCTCCGCCGCCTTCTTCGCCGCCGCCTCCGACGTCGCACGCTGCTTTGCGGCGGCAGCCTCCTCCGCCGCCCGCGCTTTTGCCTCCGCCGCCGCCGCCTTGTCGGCCGCCGCCTGCTGTGCCGCAGCCTCCTTCGCCGCCTTGGCATCGGCCGCGGCAGCCTCCTTCGCTTCCGCCTCCGCCGCCTTCTTCGCTGCCGCCTCCTCCGTCGCCCGCTGCTTTGCGGCGGCAGCCTCCTCCGCCGCCCGCGCCTGTGGAGAGAGAGGAGCGGAGGTCAGGGCGAGGGGCGACATGGCAACTCACCTCTCTCCTCTTGAGCAGCCCCGCGCCTTTGCCTCCGCCGCCGCCGCCTTGTCGGCCGCCGCCTTCTGTGCGGCCGCCACCTTGGACTGCTCCAACTTGCTCTTGACTGCCGCCTGCTCCTCCGCCTCCGCCGCCTTCTTCGCCGCCGCCTCCGAAGCGGCACGCTGCTTTGCAGCGGCCGCCTCCTCCGTCGCCCGCTGCTTTGCGGCGGCAGCCTCCTCCGCCGCTTGCGCCTTGGCTGCCGCCGCCGCCTTGGCGTCCGCCGCCTTCTTCTGCGCCGCCGCCTCCTTGGCTGCCTTGGCCTCCTCGGCCGCCCGCGCCTGCGCAATCAGACAGAGCGAACGTCGTTGGATGTGTCTATCCTCTCTCTCCCCTCTTCTGCCCGCGCCTTGGCTTCCGCCGCCGCCGCCTTGTCGGCCGCCGCCTGCTGTGCCGCAGCCTCCTTGGCTGCCTTGGCCTCCTCGGGCGTCGCCGACTGCGCCGCAGCGAGCTTTGCACGCGCCTGAACGCAACAGCGCGTGTATCCGTCACGAGTACTACGAAGGAGTTCATGGAGCAGGAGCGGTGAGCTCGTCACGCGCCTCCTCCGTCGCACGCTGCTTTGCGGCGGCAGCCTCCTCCGCCGCCCGCGCCTTTGCCTCCGCCGCCGCCGCCTTGTCGGCCGCCGCCTGCTGCGCGGCGGCCTCCTTCGCCGCCTTGGCATCCGCCGCCGCCCGGGCTTTCGCCTCCGCCTCCGCCGCCTTCTTCTGTGCCGCCGCCTCTGCAGCCTGCTGCTTGGCGGAGGCAGCCTCCTCCGCCGCCCGCGCCTGTGGAGAGAGAGGAGCGGAGGTCAGGGCGAGGGGCGACATGGCAGCTCACCTCTCTCCTCTTGAGCAGCCCCGCGCCTTGGCTTCCGCCGCCGCCGCCTTGTCCGCCGCCGCCTTCTGCGCCGCCGCCTCCTTGGCTGCCTTGGCCTCCTCGGCCGCCCGCGCCTGTGCAGTCAGACAGAGCGAACGTCGTTTGCATGTGTCTGTCCTCTCTCTCTCCTCTTCTGCCCGCGCCTTGGCTTCCGCCGCCGCCGCCTTGTCGGCCGCCGCCTGCTGTGCGGCAGCCTCCTTCGCCGCCTTGGCATCGGCAGCGGCAGCCTCCTTCGCCTCCGCATCCGCCTTCTTCTTCGTTGCCGCCTCCTCCGTCGCACGCTGCTTTGCGGCGGCAGCCTCCTCCGCCGCCCGCGCCTTTGCCTCCGCCGCCGCCGCCTTGTCGGCTGCCGCCTGCTGTGCGGCGGCCTCCTTGGCTGCCTTGGCATCCGCCGCCGCCCGGGCTTTCGCCTCCGCCTCCGCCGCCTTCTTCTGTGCCGCCGCCTCTGCAGCCTGCTGCTTGGCGGAGGAAGCCTCCTCCGCCGCCCGCGCCTTGGCCGCGACCTGCTGCGCGGCGCGCTCCTTCTCCGCCTGCGCCGCAGCGGCCGCCTGCCCCGCAGCCTTTTCCGCCTCAATCGCCTTCTTCTCCGCCGGCGACACATCGGGAGCCGCCGCCTCGTCGTCGAGAATGTCGGCCGCCACGTTCGAGCCCTGCGCCGCCATCTTTTCGAGCGCCTTCTGGGCCTTGGCACGCCGCGCTGCGCGGGCCGCCTCCTCCTTCTGGTACGCCTTGAACTCCTTGAGGCACTCGCCGGTGCACCCGGGAGGCGGTGCCTCTGCCACCTCGGCCAGCGCCACAGTCGGCAACGCCGAGGCCTGGCGGGCCTCCAAGGTGGTGCCGAGAGAAGGGCGCGCGGTAGCCGAGAGCGCGCCGTTGTGCAGCGGGGCGGTGGCAAGCAGGCCGGCGAGGAGGCCGGAGACGAGGCCGTCGGGCTTGAGCAATCTCATCGTGTCAGCAGAGGAGAGATGGGCACCTCAGCGGGGAGAAGAAACCGCGCGACCGGCGCGCGCCCACTTTCTCTACGCGTGCCGTCCTCCCATCCCTCCCTTGGGTTGTCCGTTTTCTTTCTTTCTTTGCCAGAGCCGAGGGGGCGCGCGACCGAGCCGCGCGGCGCGGCGCTAATTTTATGGCACTGTGACCCATACCCTGCCGCAGCCACGCCACGCGGCTGGCTTCAACATGCTCCGTTGGTCCGATCTAGGGCCCCAAACTCCCTTGCCGTCCACGCCTCTACCTCCTTGGGCAGCAGCTGGTCCGACAGGTCCTCCCCGTGGCCTAGGCAGCCGTCGTCGCCCTGGCCCCAGGCGAAGACGGCGCCGCCGGCGGTGAGGGCGATGCTGTGCACATCTCCCGCCGACACAGCGACGACGCGCTGCCTAGCGAAGGCCTCGACCTTCTTGGGCAGTAGCTGGCGCTGCTCGTCGCCGTGGCCCAACCGGCCATAGGCTCCAGAGCCCCAGCTCCAGACGGCGCCGTCGGCGGCGAGGGTGAGGCTGTGGTACAGCCCAGCCGACACAGCAACGACGCGCCGACCAGCCAAGGCCTCCATCTTCTTTGGCAGCAGCTGGATCTGCGCGTCACCGTGGCCCAACCGGCTTTCGCTTCCCGAGCCCCAGCTCCAGACGGCGCCGCCGGCGGTGAGGGCGAGGCTGTGGCTATATCCAGCCGATACAACGACGACGCGCCGCCCAGCGAAGGCCTCCATCTTCTTTGGCAGCAGCTGGTCCTGCTCGTCGCCGTGGCCCAACCGGCCATGGCCTCCATTGCCCCAGCTCCAGACGCTGCCGTCGGCGGTGAGGGCGAAGCTGTGGAAGCCTCCCGCCGAGACAGCGACGACGCGCTGACCAGCCAAGGCCTCGACCTTCTTCGGCAGCAGCTGGCTCTGCTCGTCGCCGTGGCCCAACCGCCCTCCTCCCCCGTGGCCCCAGCTCCAGACACTGCCGTTAGCGGCGAGGGCGAGGCTGTGGCTGCCTCCCGCCGAGACAGCGACGACGGGCTCACCAAAGGCCTCGACCTTCTTTGGCTGCCACTGGTGCTGCTCGTCGCCGTGGCCCAGCTTGCCATCGTAGCCATCGCCCCAGCTCCAGACAGCCCCGTTGGCGGTGAGGGCGAGGCTGTGCCCATCTCCAGCCGCCACGCTCACGGCGCGCTCTCCCAGCGGGGAGGACAGGCGGGTCGGCGTGTTGAGCTGCGTCACGCCCTCGCCGTGACCGAGCAGCCCTGAATTGCCTGCCTCACTGCCGCACGACGAGAGCCGCCCCTCGCCGTCGATGAAAACGCTGTGGAGTTCGCCTGCCGCCGCCCTCGCCAGCGGGTTGGACTCGCACAGCAGCGCAGAAAAGCACAGCCACCGCACGGCGCAGCCCTCGCTCTCCGGCTGCGCCGGCAGCGCGTAGCCGCGCTCTTGCGCCCACAAGCGGATGCCCTCCACCGCAAGCGAGGCGTGGAAGAGCAGCGAGACGGCCGCGACGCGAGCGATGTCGACGGGGCCGTCGCAGCGAGAGACGACGCGCACGAGGAGGTCCGTGGGGAGGTCGAGGAGGCGGATGGGCGGCGGCGTGCTTGGCGGGAGAGCGGCGGTGGAGGAGGCGGCGAGGCGGCGCGAGATCGGGGTGGACTTACTCCAGAGATGGCCTGATTTCTTCGCAGGGCCTTTTGTTGGGATTTTGAATTCTTCCGCGGCGCTTCCCGCCCGAAGTGCCGCCCTCGACGCGGATGGTAACCGCGGCGCGCCCTCCGCGCATCGCCCTCAGCGGCGAGGTGCCCTCGGCGGCCAAGGCGGCGCAGCGCGCCCTCCGCTGCCGCACGGTTGGGCCGCGCGAGGCGGATATCCTCGTCGTCGGGCAACCGGTCCGGCGCACGCTCAAGCTGCTGCACGCGCTCTCGCGGGGCGCCTGGGTCGTCGAGGCTTCCTGGCTGATCGAGAGTGCTGCGGCTGGCCGACCGCTCGACCCAGCCCCGTTTGAGTGCGGCATCCCCGGCTGCCGCTCGGCGCGCCTCCGCCGGGCAGAGGGCGAACCTCCGGTGCTGTGCGGGCTTCGGGTGGAGGTGGCAGAGGGCACGCGTGTGCCGACAGCGGAGCTCCTCGCCATCCTCACCGCAGCCGGCGCGGTGGTCGAACGCAACGACGACAGCGCTGAGCCGGTCGCCGCCTGGGAGGCGGTTGGTGATGGGTGGCGGCGCCTCATGGGTGCATCGGAGGCGGCGCTGCTCGACGCCATCGCCTCTGGGGAGCGGCTCTGCCCACCGCCGCCCCAAGCACCGCCGCCGCAAGCGCCGCCGCCGCAAGCGCCGCCGCTGCGAGCGCCGCCGCCGCGAGCGCCGCCGCCGCAAGCGCCGCCGCCGCCGCGACAGTGTCGAAGGCCCGATGGCGTGCGCCGCAAGAGACGAGGTCCTCCGGCGGGTGGAGAGGCCGGGCCAGAAGACGCGGCCGGAGGGGGAGGGGCGGCCATGGGTGCGCCGGCCGAGGCGTCGGGCGAGAACGTCGCGCCCAATGCAGAGCCGGCCCCCGCCCGTGCGGCGGCGCAGGGCGGAGGCGGAGAGGCGAGAGGCGGCGGCGAGGTGGCCGGAGGCGGAGAGAGAGGCGGCGGCGAGGTGGCTGGAGGCGGAGAGAGAGGCGGCGGCGAGGTGGCTGGAGGCGCCGGAGTGCGCCGGCCTCGCCGTGAGTCGGCGGCGGCCTCGCGGTGCGGCGGTGGCGGTGCGGCGGCGGCGGCGCTGCCCGCGTGTCTGTTGCCGGAGGGCTGCACGGCGGCGGTGCTCGGCGGAGGGGATGGCGAGTACTTTCTGCTCGAGGAGGCGCTGGAGCTCTACCGCGCGCGGCTGCCGCACTGCAGCGTCGACTACGCCGCCGCCGCCGCCGGCTCGAGCAGCGGCCGCCGCCGGCGCGGCGCGCGGACCGACTTTTTGGGCGACGTGCGCGACGCGGGCACGAGCTGCGTGCTGTGGCAGGGCGACCGGCTCGTGGCGGCGTGCACGTTCCGCGAGCACCGCGCGGCCGGCTTTGCGGAGCTGCTGCTCCTCGCCGTCGCGCGGGGCCGCGGGCGCAGCGGGCTGGGGAGCGGGCTGCTGCGCGGCCTCGAGGGCTGGCTGGCCGCTCGCGGTGTGCGCTGCGTCGCCGCGTGCGCCGGACTGGACTGCGGCGGCTTCTGGAGCCGGTGCGGGTACGACGCGGAGCAGCCACTCGAGCCTCGGCTGTGGGCCCTGCTGCTCGACCCGTTTGGGAACTCGCGCATCATGGCCAAGGAGTTGCCCGGGGGGTGACACGAGCGGTGTGGTGCGTGAAGGAGCGTGAGGGTCGGAGAGGGCGGCAGGCAGCGAAATAGTCGCTATGCGAATCACAACCTGCATGTGCGTGCGGCGTGACAGCAAGCGTGACTTGTTTCCGCGATGGGTGCCGTGAACTTTGTGTGCCGCGTCCTGTGGCCGCCCCGAGTTCATTTTAACAAACTCTAACAGCGGACCGACACCAGACCAAAATGCAAAAACAGCAAGCCAAACACACACACAGACACACACCGCGTGTACGAACTACGATCCGTTGCCCGTGGGAAACCGAAGCCCTTCCGCCTTCGTAGGTCTGCCATGTCTGTATACGTGCGCGCAGCGCAAGACGTGCGAATGGGCGTCGCACACGCAAGGCGAATTCCCCTCCGGCCCGGTGTAGAGCGGCATGGGCGGGCAGACGCCGATCGTCTCCGACTGGTTTGTGCAAGCATGACTCGCGACCAGCAGCTCGGGCATGCGAAATGGGCCTCGCATGAGCTGGACGGTGTCGATGCCGTGCCGCAGCGCAGTGAGCGCCCACATGCTGTCATCGCGCTGTGGGCCCAGCTTGCCGAAGGCGATGTGCGCCTCTTCCCGGCGCTGGAACACCCACGTGCGCCCCACGTCGATGAAGACGCCCGTACCTCGCGAGTACGGCGCAAGCAGCGGGTAGAACCTGCGGCCACCCAAACAGTGGGGCGTGTGAGGTGAGGGCGTCACAGACATGTGCGTTGCCGCGAGGAGGGGAGACGGACCAGCACCCGTAGCCCACGCCCTCGCGCTTGTGAGGGATGCGGTACACTTCGAGCCTTGTGTAGTTCGGGGCGGGCGTCGGGTTGAAGGGGCTCCTCCACACGAGAAAGCCGTCGTCGACCGCCATCCGACCACGGCTGACTATGAGCGGTTCGAACTTGACGTAAGCGTTGCCGCTCAAAGTCTGGACCCCGCCGGAATACGGATAGTGGAGGACGAGCTCACCACCCGTCCGAGGCGGCCGCGCCGGTTGCCGGGGACATGACAACCCCATGCGAAGGTGCTCCGCGTCGGCGCGGCTGAGACGAAGCGCCCCGAATTGGCCGTTGCATTTATGGAAGCAGCCAGCTCCATACGTGCTGCGCATCACGTGGTGCGTCCGCCAGGAAGTGCCCTCCACAACCTGGAAGAGGTCTATCACGCTGGCACGTGTGCAAAGCGGCGAGCAAAGCGGCGAGCCGCGGCCGGTTGTCGCCCTTTGAGTCCGATTGCAGTCGTATCGAGCCCAGGCAGCGGAGCACGAGCTGCCATTGCCACAGTCAGTAGACTCCACCATCTTAGACGAGAAGATTGCGTGGCGCCGGACCCACCGTTCGTGGGTCTGCCGCGCAACCTCGGCCCGGCGCTTGAGCAGCGCGGCGAGAGACTCTGCGTTTGCCACGGTCTCCGTCTTTGCGGGCGGTGTGCGATCGGCTCGTCGGCTGCGCAGGTGCGGCGCACGTGGCCAGCTGGCCGTGGAGCGGCCGGCGCAGCTACAGTTGTAGCTCGATGCACCTGGAGGGTAGCCGCACCAGATGCTGGTCTCGTCCTTGCCGCTGCAGCCGCGCAGCAGGAACCGGCCTCGGCATCCGCGAACCCACACGGACGGCGAGCGCTCGGCGGCAGCGGCATTTGTACAGCCGAAGCTCCGCCCGAGGATGCACGGCGCGTAGCTTGACTGCTCAGCTATGCTGATGCTGCAGAGCCCCGACCCATTGCCCGCGCCCGCCGCAAGTTTCCCCATTACAGCACCCGTGAAGACAAGGTCGCGATACACAACTGGGTTTGCGAGAGAGGCGCCGTGTCAGGGAGAATTCGTACCACAGGAGCTGGATGGCGATTACCGCTTTGCGCGGGAGCAGGATTGCGATTTACGTTTGTTTGATTTTGAGGCTTTCGGAGGCTTTGGAAAGGAGGTTCGCAGCACCCTGAGGGAGGCGGCGAACCAGCTGAGCAACAAACTTTCGCACGCTCAGCACCTGGACGAGGTCACATGGACCACCAAGAACTGGCACGGGCTGCAGATGCAGCGCTTGTCTGTCGTCCTCCACACCGCCGTGGCGTGGCAGACGGTGAACGAGCTAGCGTGCGGGGAGATTGTGCACGGTGCGGAATGCATTGCCGTTCTTAACGGAGTCGCTTAGGCGGCTCCGGTGGTGAGCCGGTGTGTGTGCCAGTCCGCGCCAGTCCGCGCCCTTGTCGTGCCAGTGTGCGGTGAGAGAGCTTCTTTGTTAGTGCCAGTG